TTGAAGAGTGCTTCGAGAGAGTCCAGGGGTTCCTTGAGGCCTCCGGTGGGGACGTGAGTTCCAGAGTCCGGGGGCAGAGCAGCTGAAAGCCTGCTCCCCACACTGGTGACGAGGTGCTGGGGCAGGCGAACCAGAGAGGTGGACCAGAGGAGGCAGCGGATCCTGAGGGAACGGGACAGCCGGGGTGGCAATCGCTGGAGGAGTTCGGAGCAGATAAAGGAGCGGGAAAGGTCTGTGGATCGGCCCCTTGAACGTCAAACCAGGAAAGCGATTTTTGGAAGTCAATGGGGCGGCCAGATTTTGACCCGGACCCAGTGGAGTTGGCTCGCAGAACCAGGGGGTGATGTGGTGGATGGAGGGGGTTCCTGGAGACTGATCGCGAGCTGCAGACGTTCTGAAGCCCAGTTTGAAGTTTATGGAGTATTTGTGGGGTAGACCGAGAGAAGCAGAGTTGCAGTAGTCGATGCGGGGGTGACAGGCTGTGTACAAGAATCGGCCAGTGGAGTGGGGACAAGGCGAAGGCGGTGCGGAGGCCCGACTTAATATTACACAGTGACGGCTGGTTGGTGATTTTGGGTGGCGTGGGCTAACCAATGCATCTACACTATCCATACTTCGACCAGCAGCAGCAACCCAGCAGCAATCCAACATCAAATACAGGGCAAACACAACATTCGTATACTCTTGTTATAGCAAAGTGGCTCTATGGCAACACCTGGGCGAAGACACTACCCCAAAAGACATAGGCCTGATGCCAAAAAACAATCTTCCTCTCTCCCCTCACGTCTCTCTTTCTCTTTCCTCTCTCTCTCTCCGTCTCTCTCTTCTCTCGTCCACTCTCTCCTCTCTCCTCTCTCTGTATCACATCAGGACATGCAATTGCGCTCAGCAACCAATCCATTATAGGAAAAGTACCCAGGCCAAGCCAATTTTGCAAAAACCCATGTACCAGAAATTAAAAACTATTTACAAAAACGCAAAGCAAAAGCTGAACTGTCCATAACATCAAAACATTCTGTAGAAAAGAGAGTCGTGATCCATGAGTTGGGCCATACGCTTATGTTAAAAAGCAGCTCACCATCGACGGCCTTTCTGTGACGCCAAACAGGTTACAGTCACCATGACATCCATAAACAAGCCCCGCCTGATTTTTGATAAAAGTCCCGCTCCAATGGAGCAGCCATAGCCAGCGTTGAGCCCTGTCCTGTCCCATTTGGTAAGGCGTTCTTAAGAAATGATTTGATCCTCCTTCTCTTTGCTGTGTCCTGCTCCTAAAATTATTGGAATAATCTGCCCTCCTGGCACCGTGTCAACGGCCTCCTTCTCTTTGTCTGCTTTTATAAATCCCTTCTTCAAAACCCATCCTTCTGCTCCCGTGGCCTTTTGACCACCCTAAGTAACGATGTGGACCCTTTATTTCACTTGATTTAATTTCTTAGTTTGATTTTGGCTTTTTATGCGGTGGCCTATTATTTTTACTGCATGTTTTACAATGTCTTTTTATTTATTGTTGTATTTTATATGTTAATCTTTGCGAGTATCTATCTAACTCTGTGAATTAAGGGTTGATTTTGATCAAACTTGATCCGGCTTCTTCACACCAAGTGAGTAAAATGTTTAATGTCAGAGATCGATATCAGTCACATCAGTTGGTTGCTGTAATTTTTGCTGCAATGTTTTCTTTCAGTTCTGTTCTGCTCTTTGTCCTCAGACAGTAAAACAGAAAACTTGAAAATACAATTTATACAAATTCAGAATTGTCAAGATAAAATCTAAAATCTGCTAGTACAACTATCTGTGATTGATCTTCTAGACAGAAAAATATTTTTTATGAATTTATTAAAAAAGAAAATATATATATATAGTATGTTTTAATTTTTTATTGTTTCTGGTATAATGCTAAGTAAACATGAAAAAAATAATTTGTAATCAGAACTTACTAAATAAATACAAAAGGTGTGTGCTGTGTTCACATGACAAGTTATTCAGACATTTACTTTTTATTTTTAACTATATTTTGTTTGTTAAGAAATAATGAAACAGAAACGCAGTAACTGACAGTAAAATCAGGCAGAAGATAAAGTTTATTGTTCCCACACAGAGAGACTGAAGACTCAGCAAAAGGAAGTGCAACAGATTCATGTATAGATAAGAAACAAATCCAAAATAAATTATGAGCATCTGCAGTATACAGCATGCAGCAGGAAGAAAAAAACAAATTGGTTTCACAGTTCATATAGTGAAGAATATACAAACTTAATTGAGGCATATATGAAGTGATGATTTAAGGAGGTTTTTAAAATTGTATTTTAACAAAAATTGAACAGTTCTTCTTTGCAGAATTAAATTGATCTTAAGTATTTTTGGGTGTCTTTACTGGCAGAAAGTGAAAGGAGAAAGAGAGTCCTCCTAGTTAGAGTAAGAAAATAAATAATTTTTAGGTTTAACTCAGAAACTCAGCTTATCTGCTTCATCAGGACTGTGTGGGTATGGTTTGATCAGATTTGATTGCCAGTAACCAAACAATCTACTAAATCTTGACAGATTCTGATTCAAATGTTGCTAAATTCTGATTTGGGTAAATGTAGTTGATATTACACCCACAAAAAGTACAGAACATGAGCAGAAACGTTGACACAAGACTCCATAAGCTATAGAAACAGATTCTTTAAAACCCTTTGGAAATGTTTTTTATATTGTTTTTTGGGGATTTTTCTTTATTAGATAGAACAGCTTAGGACAGACAGGAAAGGCGGTAGAGAGAGGTGATGACACACAGCAAAAAGCCACAGGTCGGATTTGAAGTAAGGGCCGCTGCAGCAAGGCCTTTGTACATGGGGCGCTAGTTCTACCAGGAAATGTTGTTTTTGCTGACCTCCACTGCTAGTTTTGCTGTAGGATGTACAGGTGTACTCCAGGACACTGTGACATCACTATAATTAGGTAACACCTTGTGAACTTATTTATGGTGCACCTCAAGGTTCACTTCTGGGACCAATTCTTTTTACATGCCTCCCTGTTAATCACATAATTAGTCCGACAAGTTAGTAAACTTTTATGCAGACGATACACAATTATATCGTCCTGTCAACCCCAGTTTGGTTACCTTTAATGACTGCTTTGAGATAACTGTTGGATATGTTGTTATATTTTTTAACCTAACATGGACAAGTATGATATATTTTGAAATTTGAGAGTAATTTATTTAAACCAAATACAGGAGGGTTTTTCAGTATTGGTAAGTTAATAATAAAACCAAATGTTTTACGTCCTAACAAAGTTATTCATGGCTTCATTTGATCCCCTCTTTATCTCTAACTCTCTACATTAAAAAAGCACAAAATAATCTTCTTGCTCCAAAATCTCATAGTTCCAGCTTTCAACTGGAACACATTACACCAACTTAAGCATTCATTCATTTGCTTCCCATTGCTTCAAGAATACACTAAAAGGTTCTATTAATCAGCATAAAAAGGTCTTCTCACAGTTCACAGAGTCTGGATTGGCTGCCATGCGTAACTGTGCATTACTGTAATAGCTCTTAAACTGTGGAATTAACTGCTGAAGCGCTCCTCTGTGTGCATTTTGTTGTTAGCAGCATAGTTCTATGATATTCATGTTCCCCTCAAGATTAATTATAATAACTTTTCATCAGCGCCAAATTTCAATGTGTCCAATATTTTTTTTTAGAAATAACGACTCCCATCAGCCTGGGCTGTACCTTGTGTTTAGTGGTCCACTGTTAGCATGATAATATACTAAACTAAGAAGGTAAACATGGTAAAAAATATACTTGTTAAACATGAACATGTTATTGTCATTGTGAGCATGTTAGCATGTTGATGTTAGCATTTAGTTTAAAGCAGGGCACAGAGCTGCTAGCATGGCTGTAGACCAGAGCATTTGAGCGGATTGAAGGATTTTGGATGGATTTTTATTCCCATCCTCCTGCAGTTTAGCTCCGGTATACGTATGTCTACCTCTGCTACCACTGCACGTCTCCAGGATTATTTCCAGCTTCACAGTCACTGTCGATTCATGTGGGAGCGCAAGTCTGGCTGTTTGTAGGAGATACATATTTCTCTGCGCCAGTTAACAAGAAATGTAGCTCTTTTATATCACATGAACCCGCGTTATCTGGGATTGCACAGCATTTTTATCTCTTTTTAAAAGACAAATTACTGCAGGAGAGACACTTTTCTAAAATATTTTCTATCCAACGCGTGTTAAGAACACAGTGAAGGCTGTTTAATGTCAGTCAAACGGCACACTTGTAGGTCAGGTGCAGGTTAACCTGTCACCCTCCTTGCTACGCTAAGTGCAACGACTCAAAGTCACGAGCTCTTGCAGATTCAGGCAGAATATGACGGAAAGTACCACAAAGAAAGCAAGATGCAGCTACGGGAGCTGTGAAACCTGATTTATTCAGCGTGGGTGTTTGAAAGTTGCTTTCAAACAAAATATATTTTGGTCCCTCACAAGCTAAAAACCTAATCTGTAATCTGCATCTATTGTGAGCTACTAAATCAACAGAAGACAAAGAATAGTGATGTTACGAGCTAATGAGCAGAATAGAAATATGTATATATTTGACCTATTTCACCTCTCAGCATTGGTAATAAACAAACACTTGCACATGGCCATACCTCCTTCCCTAGAGGTCTTCATTAAAGCTTCATTATTGTCACACACAGTGAATTATTCAGATCTCACAGAAACATTTTCTCAAAATTCACTTTAAGTTGAAAATAAAGTGGGTGTCGTGCTGTTTTTACTATCTGCCAGTCAGAGATGGTTATCAGTGAAGAAATCGTGTCATTGACAAACTGTCGATGGGCTTCAGAGTTAACAGGAATCTCCCATCTTGTGTCACCGTCCTGTTATCAGCTCAGAGATCTGCTCTTATCAGATCTGAGGTCTGTCATAGATCACCATAAATACACCTGATCTCAGAGCAGTTGCACTCACAGAAGCTGGACCGGACCTGGCGCGAAGACACCATGAAGCTGAGACACAGCGTCTGCGCTCTGCTGGTGAGCATCAACTTTATTAACAAATGCGAGCCACTGGCGGCTGAATAAAATCAGAAAATATATTTTCTGAAACGAAATATGAATTCACTCTGATTATTAGGCTACGTCTGAATATCGACTGATGAAATAACTGATATGATAAACGGCACAAATGAATCGTTGCAGCCATCTTTAATTCAACCTCACTACGTTATCCATGTTTATATCTACATATAGAATATACATTTAAAGACGGTTAGAGAGATATTTAGTGGGAAAATTTACACAAAGTAAATTGAAATAAATAAATAAAGTTATGGAGTTATACAGTGGACCTATTACTACCTATTATTATTATTTTTATGAGTTGTGTTAATATAATAATGTTGGTAATAACGTCAACTTAATATTGTGTGAAATTTAAACATAAAAAAAATTTCTCAGTGAATTGGTTTAAAACAAAAGTCAAGTTGTAATTACTTAATGAATTTGCTTGATGACTTTATTTATCTGTGGCCCAACTCTAACCGCCGAATCACCGCTCTGAGCTCCACCGTTCATAAGAAGTTATACACCACAATGGCTCTGGGTGTTACACTTGAATATGTTCTAATATTTGATAATTGTTAATGCTGCATTAATATCCAATGAGCTAACTGAGGTTGAGCTAATTTTACTCATTTTATATTTTGTCATAATTTACTGCGTAACAGTTCATTGTGATATATTTCACTGCTGCGGCTCCTCTTTGTTCCTTTCTGCCAGCGAGGCCTCGCAGCATAAATTGCAAATACTTATCGGATTAAGTTCTGCTCGCTCACACAGAGAAAAAAACTGGGTCCGTATCTGAGATTGTGTTTTCTCTTGTTTTCCCATTCGTGTCCATTAAAGCTGATTAAAAGATGCTGAGAAAACCAATTGAACATGCTCAGTAGAGACTTCCTGTTTCATCAGGAGTCATTAATAACACAAATCTGCAATAGTAACAACAAAGTACAATATTTACCTCTGTATAAAGTAGAATAAAGTTAAAGTTTAATGTCTCCTCTCCTCAGGTATTTTGCAGTGCACTGTGGGTCGTCTCCTCCTCCGAGGTTAAACCGCCTCCTGTCTGTGACTCCCTGCTGGCGTTCACCTCGGACGTCTCCTCGTCGTCTGAAGGAAACGGGAACATCCACAGCAGATCTCTGTCTGCGTGGAGCTGGAGGTCAGTGTGAGTGAATGAGTGAGTGAGTGAGTGAATGAATGAATGGACATTTAAATGTTATATATATAAATTAAATAAGAAATTCACTGCCATGAGATATTGCACTAGTATCTTAGACCATTGACAAAACCAGTAATTTTACCTCGCAGATAATCATTAAAACACAATAGAAGGAAAAACTCACCAAATAAATCCTTAATTCACCGACGGAGATGGTAAATGCTATATTAATGTTTGAATCTCATATTTCTGCTCTTATTTAAACTGAATATCTTCAGGGAATCTTGGTTTCTTAATTTCTTTGACTAAAACTGATTATAAAAAATCTAAAATCTAATCTAAAACAGGAAGTGACCTAAAGATGAAACAATATAAACAGAACATAAATAAATTAAATCAACAAATTAACTTTTTTGTTTCTTTATAATCTTTTTTTTTTTTTTTTAAATCTCACCAGTTATTTACCAACAGCGGGGACAGCGGCCATGTTCCTCTCACTTTTATTGTCTTATTTTAAACCGCTGAGTCTGCTGCTGTTGTCTGTTCAGGTCGACCACGGTGAAGAACCGGATCCCATCCACCCTCTGGGAGGCCGAGTGCAGCAGCAGCTTCTGTTCCAGTCCCAACAGACAGACAGACGGACACAACCTGAACTCGGTCCCCATCTACCAGAACGTCCTGGTCCTGAACCGGCAGGACAGGGGGCGCTGCTACACCGCGTCGTACGTCTCGGTGGCTGTAGGCTGTACCTGCGTCTGGGCCAAAACCCGAGTCTGAGCCGCATCGACCTGAAGCACCAGAACCAGAACCACCAGAACCAGAACCAAAATCTGGAATTCAATCTGTAATCTGTAATCTGTGTGCTGTATGGACTATTTGTGTTTAAATTAAAACATACAATGTAAAGAGACATTATTTTTATTAATAAAAGACATTAAAGTACAACTAGACTGTTTAAACTGGTGGACTTTGTCTGTCCTCTGTACGGTGGCCATTTTAGGACATC